TAGTAGTAGTAGTAGTAGTAGTGTAGTGGTAGTAGTCGTAGTCGTAGTCGTGTAGTAGTAGTAGTAGTAGTAGTAGTAGTAGTAGTGGCGGTAGTAGTAGTAGTAGTACTAGTACTAGTAGTAGTAGTAGTAGTAGTTGTAGTAGTTATGGTAGTAGTAGTAGTAGTAGTAGTAGTAGTAGGAGTACGAGTGAGAGTAATAATAGTAGTAGTAGTAGTAGTAGTCGTAGTAGTAGTAGTAGTAGTAGTAGTTGTTGTAGTAATAAAAGTAGTAAGTAGTAGTAGTCGTCGTCGTAGTAGCAGTAATAGTTATAGAAATAGTAGTAGTAGTAGTAGTGGTAGTAGTAGTAATAATAGTGGCAGGAGTAGTCGCAGTAATAGTAGTATTAGAAGTATTATTAGTATTAGTCGTATTAGAAGTATTAGTAGTAGTAATAATGGTGGTAGTAGTAGTAGTCGCAGTAGTAGAAGTCATATTCGTAGTCATAGTCGTAGTCGTAGTCGTAGTAATAGTAGTAGTAGTAGTAGTAGTAGTAGTAGTAGTAGTAGTAGTAGTAGTCGTAGTAGTAGTAGTAGTAGTAGTAGTAGTAGCAGCAGCAGTAGTAGTAGTAGTAGTAGTAGTAGTAGTAGTAGTAGTAGTAGTAGTAGTAGTAGTAGTAGTAGTAGTAGTAGTAGTAGTAGTAGTAGAGCAACCCGGATGGAATGGAGCACCCGCCCCCGGCAGAGCCCCTCGTGGTCCTGGAAGCCGTCGTCGGACAGGTCCCCTCCTGGCGGGGCCTGGCGCGATGGCTGACGCAGGCCGCAAGCGCGGCACACCGCGTGGAGAGGGCACCCGCGCAGAGACCTCGCGCGGGCAGCCTGGGCGAGAGTGCCCGCGCCATCACCGTCCCGTCGACTTCGCGCGCCGCTCGCCCCAACTCGCGCCGACCCGCGCCGCTCGAAGCGCGGTCACCCTCGCGACCTGGCCGTGGACACCGGTCTTCAGCGCAGCTTCCGGAGCGGGAAGAGGACCGCCGAGGGGACAAGGAGAAGGAAGAGGAGGCAGAACGTCGAGAGGAGGAGGAGGAGGAGGAGGAGGAGGAGGAGGAGGAGGAGGAGGAGGGGAAACAAAAGCACGACCTGCCCCTGGAAGCTCGCCGGGTCAGACCACCCCGCGCGAGGCGCGGCACCCCTCACACTCCCGCTGGGGCGACCTGGCAGCACGTGCGGTGGGCAGACGCGGGATCCGACCCGCCGCGCGGGCAGGGAGACGAGGTAGGATCAAGCCAGGACGATAAAACCGGGTGAGGATAAGTTGAGAATCTCTGAGGTCCGGCGGCTCTGGAGGGTGCCTTGGGCGCCGCGGCCTTTTCAGAGCATGCCGCAACGCTCTAAGAGCGCTCCAACACGCTCTGGAACGGACTTCCTGACGCCCGATAGAACCAGCTGCTCTTAGCATGGGTTTCGGTCTCGGGTCGCCAGGGCAGGAGGGAAAGAGATATCGGGGGGTGCTAAAAGTGCCCCTGGCCCAGGGTGCCCCCCAGCTTTCCTGGGGCCCTCCTCGTGAGGGCGCTCTGTAGGGGTCCTCCTGGACCTCGTGAGGGGTCCTCCTGGACCTCGTGAGGGGCGCTCTGTAGGGGCCCTCCTCATGAGCTGCACAATTTTGGAGCCCCCGGGGCCCTCCTGGACCTCGTGAGGGGTGCTCTGTAGGCCGCCGGGGCCTCCTCATGAGCGGCCTCGCCCCGCCCGAGGAGGCCCGGGGCGCTCGCTTCCTGGATCTGCTCGGGCCTCTGCTGTCAGGGAGTCGAGGCGGCCGCCGTCGGGCGGGGGGGGGCGGCGCGGGGCGGCTGGGAGCGAGATGAGGGCCGTGCAGCAAGGGAGGACGGAGACGCAACCAGTAGGAGGGAGGAGGCGCACGAGCCTCAGAAGAGACAAGCACTTGAGGGGATGGAGGAGGGATGGAGGAGGAGAGGGAGGATGAGCAGGAGGATGCGCCCCCTGGGGGGGAGACCCCCTCAAGTACAGACTATGCGTCCCCGCTACTCCTCTCGTCGTCTCATCTTCCCCCCAGGAAGCAAGATTTCCCACTTTGGCGGGGCTGGAGATAATGGAGCGCTCTGGAACGTTCTGGAACGCCGCTGATAATTTCGAACGCCATGGGTGAAAGCTGAAAGTTCTGAATCCCTGAACGTGCGAGAAAGATGAGACGAGAAGAGGAGGAGGGCGAGGGAAGAAGGGCAAGCATGGGAAGGATGAGGAGGCGGAAGAAGAGCAGGATGAGAGATGAGGGGGTCGATGACGGGGAGCGGTGCCAGGAGTGCAGGAAAGGAGAGGGGAAGGACAAGCTTGGCGCGCTCGCACCATGTCTGATATCGCATGTCATAGCGGGCCTGGAACTCAAAAGAGGATTCCATCGTGTGATGCGCAATCGGCAAGGGGGAGCTGCGTAAATGGGAGGAGGAAGAGGAGGAGGAGGTGGTGGCGGGCAAGTAAGGTGATGAACAGGAGGAAAAGGAAGCGGATGAGGCAGGAGGAGGACCAAGACGAACAGCAGCAGCAGGAACTGGAGTGGAAGGAGCGGGAGGAGCAGGAGGACCAGGGGAAGGCGGAGGAGAAGAAGTGAGGGGGAGAGACAACGATGAAAGAAGGCTCGGATCGAGAAAAACGGCCCGCGCCGGGGCGAGAGCGCCATCCTGAACGACGAACACAAAGCGCCGATCCGCACATGAGGCCCACGCTGCAACAGGAGCATCGTTTTCTTAAACGCCGAAGGCAATCGGATCAAACAACAAAAGAAACCATATTATGAAATTTTGCCACCGAGAACAATACGCGGAGGGGGCAATCGATCTTCCGAAAGGAACCAGGGGAGGGAAGACAACGCCCGTCCCTGCCCATGCCATTGCAATCGCGCCTCCGGGTAGCCGCCATTGCTCGGCGACGACTTCTCCCGCCCACCCAGGCTCATGAGGACAGGAGCAGAGAACACCGGCACCACCACCACCATGGCGAGGAACCAGGAAAAGGTCCTCCTGCAGGCGTGGTCCTCCTGTTCGTGTCGCCCTGCTCGAGGCGCGTCTCTAGTCTCTAGCTTTGGCGGCGAGCGAGGGGGGGAAGTGAGAAGGAGAAGGCCTTCTCGGAAGGCGGCGGGACTTCTCAGAAGCCCTCGGGCCTTCTGAGAAGTTGTTTCTGTCTTCGGGGAAGGCTTAGAAAACTTCTCAGAAGGCCGGGTGACTTCCGAGCCTTCTGAGAAGGCCCGCCCCTTCTCACCTCCCCCCCTCGCCCGCCGCCGAGAGCTGGAAAAAGCAGAGGCGGCCCACTGGTGGTGGTGATTGCGGCTTCCCTCGTCCCGATGAAAAAATAGCCGGGCTCTGGCAGTGCCCGGCGGCAATCACCGCGGTAATTGCGAGGAACTACCCCGGCTGAAGCGCCTCATGTGAGCGCGGCCACTCCCTTGGCAAATACGGCTGCGTGCACGACGCGGCGGGAAGCACGCGCATCACACGCTTTCAATTCGCAATACTTGTTGAGACATGCGCTATATGTGCAACCACATGATTCATCAAAACGTGCATGTGTACACCGCGCCCAAATACCCAGCGGACCCGTGCCATCGAACAATACCACTTCTGCGGGAAACCACACAGCAGATCTGATTGGTGTCATGTTCTGCTGGAACTGTGCATACGCACATACATACATACATACACGTATGCCGGGAAGGCGAAACCATTCACCCAGGGCAGCTTGCGGAAACAAGGGCCTTCGAAACCTCAAATGTATCGAAAGTCCCCATGGTCCGGCGTGTGAGTTTAAGAAGTCTAAGCTGAGCTCTGCTTCAGCATGAGCTTTAGCTCTGCTTGGGAAGGGGGGGGACGTAATTCACTGACGAATTCAGTGCTCGCCCCCCCCCTTTGCCAGCCCCCAGGAGAGGGGGTGGGGGGGGACAGGAGAGAGGGAGGAGGGGAAAGGGGGTGGGGGGGGGGGGAGGAGGGGAGAGGGGACACGAGAGAGGGGGGGGGGGGAAGGAGAGAGGGGGGAGTGGAACAGGAGAGAGGGGGGGGGGGACAGGAGAGAGGGGGAGGGCAGCGAGAGGGCGGGAGAGAGGGGGGGGGGACAGGCGAGAGGGGGGAGGGACAGAGAGAAAGGGGGGGGACAAGAGAGAGGGGGAGGGGACAGGAGAGAGGGGGGTGGGACAGGAGAGGGGGGGGGGACAGGAGAGAAGGGGGGGAGAGGGGGCGGGGAGGGGACAGGGAGAGGGGGGGGGGACAGGAAAGAGGGGGGGGGAGAGGAGAGAGGGAGGGGACAGGAGAGAAGAGGGGGTGGGAGGTGGGGGGGGGGGGCCGGGATCGTCACCATCTCCATCACCATCATCACCATCACATCATCACATCATCATCATCATCATCATCACCATCATCCATCACCATCACCATCAGCATCATCAGCATCATCATCATCATCATCATCATCATCATCATCATCATCATCATCATCATCATCATCATCATCATCATCATCATCATCATCCGGAACGCCCCGGATCGGCGGCACTCGCCTGAGGCCCCTACAATATGCCCCGCATGCACCAAATGTGTGGGCGATGGCGTTCCTGATGTTTTGTCTCGGACCGGATTGTCAAGCGTTGCGTGCGCTGCGGTCGATCGATTCGGCGCGGGTGGATACATTTTTTTTTTTTTTTTTTTTTCTGCCAGCCTTTGTAATACCGGTCGCTCTGTGGCGCCCGCGCCTGTGCACATCATGATGCGATGCGCAGCGCAGCTGCCAAAAGACGGCGCCAGTGCACGTGACCTTTAAAGCCCATGCAGCGCTCGTGCTAACAAGCAACATTTCCCAAAGATGACTCATATTGAATTGAATGCCGAGGTCGGGATCTATGCAGCGGAAATGTCTACACATGCTCTCGCTAGGATTTAATGAACACGTGTCAGCCACCAACGAATTTCTGAAAAACCTTGGGGGGGGCCATCGACGCTCAGGCTGCCCGTCAGCCTCAAGAGCATGAAAACATGCATCGCACAGGCGGCGCGCGCACGGCAAAGGGCGACGCCGGGCCGGGCTAGAGGCAGAGCCGCGCCAGACGCCGAGGAAGATGAAAAGGAGGAGGAGGAGGAGGAGGAGGAGGAGGAGGAGTCCACGTACCCTGGGGAGACGGGTCATGCAGCACCGCTATGTTTGATTGAATTGCGGGGGGGCGCTCAGCATGTCACCTGCAAGGGGGCCCGCAGGGCGCCGAAGTCGAAACGAAACGCTCGATATCGAGATATCGTCGGCGGTTTGACGCGCGAGCGACGCTGAGTGCCTGGCCTGGATGGTAATTCAATGCTGGCCGAACAGCTGTGGTTGACACGCTAATGCAGCACGCAGTTTATGATATATATATATATATATATATATATATATATATATATATTAAAGGCGAGACAAGTAAGTAACACAGCTCTCTCACGCGAAATCTCAGCGCGAACATATTCCTCGGGAGTGCCGAAGCCGCGACGGACTACAATGCTGTCGGGTAGAAAGACACGGCCAGGGAGAGCAAGGTGGTGGAGAAGACGGGGGAGGTGAAGGTCGTGGGAAATAGCATCTGGGCAATGCTCACATCCGAATCGACACGGAAGCGGCGTGAGGTTATGCATTCTGCGCGTGGTGATCTACGCCCCAGTGACCTTTTCAGACAAAAAACTCGCATCAGGGGGGGCAGCCTTTAAAACGGGTTTTAAGTACTCCCATCGCCGCCGCATCTCCTCAACGCAGGGCACATCGTCGGAAGGGGGCCAAGCAGAGAGGCGACGGTGGAGAAGGAGGTGAAGGAAGCCGGGGTAAAGGCGAGCGGACAGGGCAGAGGAGAAACGATATTGGAGGCTCTTGCCACTGCCCTGACGCAGGAGCCCCCTATCCTCGGAGCGATGTGGAGGGGGCGGGTCCTCGACCAGCGCTGCAGCCGCTGCCTCCGCGAGGTCTCGCGCGGGGAGCAGGTGGCTTCGCGGGCGGACAGCCGCGCGAGGGCGCCAGCGTCCGCTCCACAGTCCTAGCTGCTGAGCTACGCTACCTGCAAGGACCAGCACGGTGCAGACCATTTTCCCTGGCACCAATCTACAACCGACCCGTGCTCGAGAATGGCTTGCTCGCGTTGCTCCACCCAAGGCTCCCACCACCCTTCCAACGTCTTGGTCGCCATTCTCCAGCCGGCGGCTACAGTCGACACTAATGCTGATCCTGGCGCTCCTGATGGGAGCCATGTGCCAATAGAGAACAGTTCGGCGAGCTTGAACGAACTGGGAGAAATGCGGAGCATTGCGTGCAGGGCCCACCGCTCTTTATTCAGGATGATGGGAGAGATGGGGACACATTGGGCGAGGTACGAGAGCACGCTGATGGCACGTGCGATGTAAAGAATGATGAATGCTGCCGTTGGAGCTCCACTCTCACCCGTCTCTCTCGCACGACTCCACCACTTCTACCCGGCGGTGTTCCATTCATCTTCCAGGGTCGCGCGTGGCACTGGCAAAACTCATGCATGTCTCTTGGCGGACTCAATTCCAAAATCTTTCCATGGGGTGGCAGATGCTTTGAGAAGGGTCCCACTGCCGTTGACGACTGCGTCGATCGGCTCGCTCCAAAGGGGTGCAAAGTAACATTTCTTCGGTCGGAGAAGGAGGCCAGCAAGGACAGCAGCAGCCTCAAAGGGAGGGAGGGGCGAGGGAGGGAGACGTATGTTGCCAAGCGCCGCTCCTACATCATCAGCGAGGAGGAGGATGGGGAAGAGGAGCCGGGAGGGCGCCGGACGAGGAGAAAAGCGGGGGAGGAGGAGGAGGAGGAGGAGGAGGCGCCAGAGACAGAGAAGGCATGAGGCGGCGAGGCGCAGACAGGAGGGGCCGAAGGCCGCGGGCCAAGCGCAGCGAGGGCCGAGCGGGGAGAGCAGGGCCGGGAGGTGGGGCGGGGCTGCTGCGCACCCGCCCTGCGGGCCCCACGACCGAGACCTTGCCGGACTCAGGGCCGCCTCCTGGTCTCTGGGGGCTTGCGCTGCCGCCGGGCAGAAGTTGCGGCGCGGACGCTCGACTCGGCCGCTGCGAAGACCAGCGGCGCCGCCAGCGACGCGACGGCGGCCAACAACGCCGCCCCCATTAATTACGGCGACCAGCAGCAACACCACCGACATCACCAGGGCGGCCAGCAGCAGCAGCAGCAGCACCGCCACCACCGCCATCACCCCCACCACCACGAGCACCAGCGACAGCACCGCCATCAGTGGCCACGACACGCGCGGCAGAAGCTGCAACGGCCGCGCGGGTGGCCGCCTGCGCCGGTCGATGAACAGGGCGAGGATGCCGAGGAGGGAGCCGCGGGAGAGCAGCATTGCAAGACAAAGGAGATGAGGAGGCCCAGGCGAGTGCGCGTCGAAAAGACCCCCCACAAGAAAAAAACCCAGAGTGGCATGGCGCTCGCACGGCCGCAGCCCCGCCGCGGGACAGCCCCCCCGAGGCGAGAGGACCCCGGGGTGGTCATTTTTCGCGCGCGCCTCCTCAAAGAGAGACGCAGCGGCCCCAGGAAACGCCGCCGGGGGGCAGGCGAGAACGAACAGGCACCGCGCCGGGCAGCTTTCGCTTGCCGGGTCCTCTTTGCCGCAGGCGCCGACGAGCCGCCCTGCGGCCAGCGCCGCGGTCGCCGAGCACGGCGCGCTCGTGGAACGGGCGGCAGCTCTCCAGCAGCGGCGCGCAACCCTAGCCGAGGGGTTCGACGGGGTCGGGGGCGGCCAAGAGGGGGGTGTCCAAGAGAGGGGATGCTCATCATGGCCGGCGGCGCGCGCGCGGCCCGCCGGGGGGGCCGGGGACGTAATGAAATAATAAGAGGCGCCATCAAATCTGCTTAAATATGATGCCCCCCTCCATGATACCCCCCGCCCCCTAGTCATCGCCCCCCTCTTTTCCGCCCCCGACAGGAGGCGGGCGCAAGGCGCGCCCCGGGAAGTGCAAGTGCTCGAGGCAGGCACCCCGGCCTGCGGCGCCGCGCAACGAGCAGCAGCTGCAGCGGCGCCAGCGCCCGCCTGCACAGGGGCAGCAGCGAGAGGGGGCATAGGAAAGCGGCAGGAGGGGGCGGGGCGCGCGCTGCGACGGCGAACAGACCATGCTGGGAACACCAACGCCCCGAGGGGTGTTCTCTCAGTTCCAACGCCCGCGCCGACTACAGGACGCGGACGGCGAGACGGCGAGCGCAGGTGTCGGCGACGGCGCGCCTGTCATCGCGAAGAAACACTTCCGCCATGGACGCCACGAACGGGCAGGTAGGGATTCCGGTTCGCTAAGAGGTTGCCGATTCGTGTGGGAGTTCTGATTTCGCGCAGTGGCTTTGGTTTGCGTGCGCTGGGCATCGGCTTCAACCGCATAGGTTTTGGTTTCAGGGGAATGGGTTTTGCTTTGGCCAAAGAGATGCACATGTCCATGTATAGTCTGGTTCGCTCGCTTCCTCGCGCGCGTTCATTCACCCCGGTAATCAGTTATTCCTTTACCCGCTAGTCTCTTTCTCGCACCTCGTCCTCGCATCACCTCATCCCCTTTGCTGTCATGCCCTCCCCCTTTACCAACCTCTCCTTCTTAGGTCCTTTCTCTTTTTGGCCCTCTCCCCTCCGGTCTGTCCCGCTGTCCGACTATATTCGATTATTTCTGGGTCGTTCCGTGTGCCGGACTATAATGTTTGTGCCTGGTCCTAAACGGATGCACATACACATTCCTCAGCAAATATTGGTATTTTGCGTTTGCCGCGCTCGGGGCCCAGCGTTTCGCATCCCGGCCTTGTCAACGGTTTCCGTCAGGTTGCATCGATTTCCTACATAATCGACAACCGCAGAACGGCACATCCCAAATGGGCATATCCATACACTGATAATATGGCAAATCGGACCTGAACGCGTTTAATTTGGCGCTGGGGTTTTGCAGATGCGTTGTTTCTTCTGCACTTGCTTTTCCGAATGAGCACTGTTCGGATCAACCTTGGTCATCTGTTTCGGGCCGAGGGAGTGGGGGAGGCAGGAAGAGGAAGAAGAGGAGATGCAAATATCATGGCTGATAAACCGAAGATATAACATAAATCTCATCGCGCCCCATGCGCTACAACGCGAGGCTGCCCATGCACCGCTCGCGTTCGCAAGCGGGCGGGTCCGGCAGAGGGCGTCGCCATGCCAATACGAATGTAACAATCAGTGGCGGGGGGGGGGGGGGAATGGGCGGACGAGGAGGAAATGCGAGCGGAGGACGAGGAAGCCAAATGATGTGGAGGAGCGCGGGAGGAGAATAATATCAAACTACGCCAGAAATGCGGAAGAAGTTCCGTTGTCGCAATGCGGCAACACGTAGGCAATGAAAACAAACAAAAAAAACATGCCGACGATGAGACCCATCAAACAAAGAACCACCGTCAACCTGAAACCTACGAGAACGAAAGTTAACCCTATTGCCGCGAAACTGGAATCTAACCTCGAAACCGGACCCCCCCTATGAGACTGAAACCTGGGAAACAAAAGAAACAAAACTGAAACCTTCGAGCACCGCCAGATCCCCCCCCTGCCCGCCAGAAACGCAGCAAGCCGAGCGCGGCGCAGACCCAGACTCCCGGATCGATTCAAGATCTCAGGAAGAAGGCACTCCAAATTCCGTAGTCTTAAGGAGGGGGTCGCAACCGTCCCAAACGACCAGTTTTAGATCCCGCCCCGCACCGGCCGGCCGCGAGCGGGCGGCCTGTTGCCCGGACCCCCGGGGCCCTCCATGACAGCTCTTACCCAGTAGCTCAGTTAGACTAGGATTATAATTCTCCATTATCCTCTAATCAACATGATTTAGAGGATACTTATCCTCTAATCAACATGATTCAGAGGATAATTATCATCTAATCAACATGATGTAGAGGATAATTATCCTCTAAGTATCATCTAATTTCAACATAATTATGACATAATCATCCTCTAATTATCTTCGGAATATCATAATTATCTTCTAATTTGTCTTACTTAAGTGAGGTTCCCTCCTCCGCCTCCTCCCCTCCTCCGCCTCCTCCGCGTCCTCCTCCGTAACCATTTGGGCTCAATGTAGCTGCGCAGGCCCCCCATCGAGGGGCCCGCGGGGCCCGCGGGCCCGAGCCATGGCGAAGCTGATATGGGACTCGAAGGGCAACCTCGTGGACTGCGTGAAGGAGGGAAGCGTGCCCTTGCAAGACACGGCCTTGCTCTTCAGCAGGGGCACGAGGCAGAGGAGTGCAGACGAGGCAAACGAGGGCAGCCCCATGCCCGCGTGGGCGCCGACGTCCAAGGCGAAGGCGCGGAGGCCACCGTCGACGCCAGCACCTTCGCCAGCACCTTCGGCAGCACCTTCGGCGCCAGCACCTTCGCCAGCACCTTCGGCAGCACCTTCGCCAGCACCTTCGCCAGCGCCGTCGGCAGCAGCACCTTCGCCAGCACCTTCGGCGCCAGCAGCGCCGTCGCCAGCAGCGCCGTCAGCAACCCTCGGCAGCATCAGGCCACGTGGGCCAGTGAGGCCAGCGGGGCTAGTGGCCGTCGCGGCGCCGATGCCGCCGCCGCTGCAGACGACCAGGGCCGTCGCGATGCAGCCCAGGGGGACGAAGAAGGAGTTGCAGCCGACGTCGAAAGCGCAGCCGAAGGCGCCGAAGGCGCCGAAGATGCCCCCTCCGCCGCAGGCGGTAGAAGCGCGGGAGCGGCGGGAGATGGCGAAGCACGACCAGAACGCGCAGCACGACGCTAAGCCGCAGCACGACGAGAAGCAGCAGCACGACGTGCAGCAGCACGACGAGAAGCAGCAGCGCGACGAGAAGCCGCGGGCCCTCGTCCAGCACGACGTGAAGCAGCACGACGCGGTACTCGGCGTCAGTGAAGGTACAGACGTGGTACCGCCGCCAGCGAAGGTGGAGGAGGAAGAGAAGCAGCACGACGAGAAGAAGCAGCAGCACGACGAGAAGCCCTTGGTGCAGCCGATCGCGCAGCCGGCCGTGGGGGCGGGCCTGAGCTGGGGCCTCAACCCGTTCGTGCACGTGCCACCCCCACAGGAGGCGGACAGGGAGAAGATGTTCGGCAAGATCGGGGTGAGGAGCACCGAGCGCGCGATCTACAGGGGGATAAAGCGCAAGTGCGGCCAGCAGTACGCAGATCTCCAGCAGGAGGCACGGCTTGGCACGGCTGGGCACTTGCAGATGCAGGCGATTCACTTGCAGAACAAGGAGAGGGCGCTGAGCTTCGAGTACCAACGGATTGGGGCCGCTCTAGTGCGAGTAGGAGGCGTTGCAATCGGACAAGTACCCCTGGGCAGCTCGGCATCATCGTCGGCAGCATCTTCGTCGGCGGCACCTTCGGCGCCAGCGACGCCGTCGCCAGCGCCAGCGTCAGCAACCCTCGGCAGCATCACCGTCGCCAACAGGCCATGTAGGCCAGTGCTGCCAGTGGGGCTAGTCGCCAACAGGCCATGTAGGCCAGTGCTGCCAGTGGGGCTAGTGGCCGTCGCGGCGCCAGCGCCTTCGCCAGCAGCACCTTCGCCAGCAGCTCCTTCGCCAGCAGCACCTTCGCCAGCCGCGCCGCTGGCAGCAGCGCCGTCGGCAGCGGCACCGTCGGCGCCAGCGTTGTCCAAGGCGGCCTCGTGGACAGGGCCCGCGCCATTTACGCCTTCGACGACGGCGCCGTCCGATTGGCCGCCGTGGGCTGATGCGCCGATGCGGGCCGACGAGTTTGCGGACATAAGTGATCAGACGGCCGATCTCCTGCTGAGGTTCGTGGCGCTGACGGGCGTGAATCCCGCTGCGCCGCGGGGCGAGTCCGACGGGGGCAGTGCGGCGACGCCAGACCAGTGCGAGGTCGCCGCTTCAGACCCGCACCAGGTCGCCGAGCCCGAGCCCGACGCTTGAGGCAGGCCGGAGAAAAAACTTGAAAAACAAACAAAGAAAAAACTCCACGAGCGTGGAGGTGCCATCAATGTCACAAACACCATCACCACCATCATCACCACCATCATCGTCATCATCGTCATCATCATCATCATCATCAGCATCATCGTAATCACCATCATCACCATCATCATCACCATCGTTACCACTACGATCCATCGTCATCGTCCTCTCGCTTCCTCCTCATGCTCCGCCTCCTCTGTCTCTCCGCAGCCGCGTGACCCTCAGGCATTTTTGCCATTTTGGCAACTGGTGAGAGCGGCGGCCCGACGATGGCGTCAGCGCTGCGCCCGAGGCGCCCGCGACCTAGGGAGTCGCAGTTCGTCCACGCGACCCTCGCCGACAAGTGGGACGCGAAGGCGGTCCTCAAGGACCCTGGCTTCGCGTGGGACGGCTCGGGGTACGGGAGCTCGCGGACGCAGGCCATCGACGAGACGTCCATGTTGTCTTACGCCGAGGTTTTGAAGACCCTCCTCGAGGTTGCACCCTCGGGGTTTCCAGCGCAGAAGTGCTTGAAGGATACCTTCCAGGAGCTGGACAAGAGGCACGGCATCCTCGCGTGCGATATGCGCTTCCAGGAGAGGGCGGCCAGCCTGGCAGCAGACGCCTGGCGGGTCATGGCGAAGCACCTCTACAACGCAGCCCAGGCGGATAAGGCTCTGAGCAACGAGGTGCTTCAGCAGCTGGTGAAGATGATCAGGCTTCCCTCTGCAGAAGATGATGGCGGTGCAGCTCTTGCCAGTGGCGGCTCCTTCGAGGACTCGCCGTCGTTCGCGGCGGCGGCGGGCCCCGTGGAGGGCGAGGCCGCCGACATGAGCGCGTCGGCGGTCAGGGCGCTCTTCCCCCCCAGCATGGGCGAGGCGGCGGAGGGCGATGGCAGTCACGAAGCAGCTAAGACCGAGGTCGAGTTCTCCGACGACGACGTGGAGCTCTGCGGAATGACGTGCAAATGCAAAGCGTGCCGCGACGCACGCACCGTCGACCTCACGGCCGAAGAGGGCGGCGGCGAGCGGGTCCCGATCCCGAACGCGGCCATCGGGGGCCAGAAGCGCGATACCAGGACCGCCCAGACGGCGCTGAAGGGCGACAAGAGCAAGGGAAAGGGCAAGGGCGACGGGAAGGGCAAGAGCAAGAGCAAGACGAAGAGCCAGGCGAAGGGGAAGAGCAAGGGGAAGGGGAAGGGCAAGCACAAGACGAAGAGCCAGGCGGGCAAGGGCAAGGACAAGCCAAAGAGGGGGCCGTCGACTCCCTGCACAGTCCGCATGCGTTTGTTGGGCAAGACGCGCGAGACGGTTGCGGCGATCCTGAAGCCCCCGAAGAAGGCCAAGGCGCCCCCGAAGCAGGAGGATGAGGCCGAGGTCGAGAGCGGCAACATCACCCTGCCCGCAACGGTCACCGTGAGGGAGCCGAACGGGAAGAGGCGTGGCGAGGCCTACATGCTCGACGGCAACAAGAAGTACATCATGGGCATCACCAGCAGGAGGACCGAGGAGTACAAAGAGGTCGTCGAGCGCGCCGCGGAGAAGATCAACGGCACCATCCTGAAGACGAAGGACGACCTCAGGATGTGGCTCGACCAGCAGATCGGGTTCGACACGTCATGAGGGGCCTCAGGAGACGCGGTTGGAGTTGGACCTGCTACGCGTTGGGGCGATGTGGAGGGTCCAGCCAACTAGAAAGTTGAAAACCACAATCCTCCACGAGCGTGGGGTTCCCATCGTCATCTCATCCTCTTATCCTCTTAATGCTATCCCCACGTCGTCGTTATATCATCCTCATCCTCATCTTCATCCTCATCCTCATCATCGCACCGATCCCCATCGCAATCATCATCATCGTATTCATCCTCATCCTCGCCATCACCCCGATCCTCATCATCATCATCATCATCATCATCATCCTTGGAGCTGCCCTGGCTCAAGCCAGGCGCGGTTTTCAGATCTCCGCCCAGGAGACAGATGCCCCCGAAGAGGGCTACGGCTACCAAGTCCGCCTCCCCCGCGATCCGCAGGGGGCCGATGGGCCACTGCCTCGAGAAGATGCAAGCAGCAGTGCGCGCAGGCACCGCGGCAGCGCCCGTGAAAGCGGAGCCCGTCGACAGCAGCGGCGGCTCCAGCGCGCCTGCC